GTCCATTTCCTCTGTGTTTTCCACCATATGTTAGTAGAGGTTTTCAAAGTAGGTATTCATGATCTTTTGAATTTCTATGGGATCTGTAGTAATTTCCCACTCTTTAGTCCTTATTGTGTGAATTTGGGTTTTTTTCTTTATGAGGTTAGCTAGAGGTTTGTCAATTTTATTTTCTCAAAAAATGAGCTTTTTGATTCATTATTTCTCTGTATTGTTTTTTAAGTTTCAATTGCATTGATTTCTGCTCTAATCTTTATAATTTCCTCTCTTTTATGAGTTTTGGGTTCAACTTGCTCTTCTTTTTCTAAAAGCTTGAGATGAAGCATTAGGTTGTTTGTGCTCATTCTGCTTTCTTCATATGACAATTTATTGCGATGTATTTCCCTCTTAAGACTGCTTTCATTGCATCCCACAGATTACAGTATGTTGTTTCTGCATTTTCATTGAATTGTAGATATTGCTTTATTTCTTCTTTAATTCCTTCTGTAGCCCACTGGTTGTTCAGAAGGTTGTTGTTTAATTTCCGTGTATCAATGCAGGTTTTGCAATTTCTTTTGCCATTAATTTCCAATTTCAGTGTGCTATGGTCAGATATTACACATGGGATAATTTCATCAGTTACTTAAGAATGTTTTATGGGATAATATATGGTCTATTTTGGAAAACATCCCATGCACAGCTGAGAAGAATGTGTATTCTGATGTGGTTGGGTGGAACACTGTAAACACCTATTCAGTCCAGTTGTTCACAGGTTTGATTCAGTTCTATAATTTCTTTGCTGACTTTGTGTCTAGTTTATCTATCTCTTTGTGACAGTAGGCTGTTAAGATTCCCTGTTATAATTGTGTTCTTGTGTATTGGGTTTTTCATGTCCATTAGTATCTGCCCTATATAGTTGGGTGTTCCTGTATTTGGTACATATATATTTATAATTGTTAGTTCTTCCTCTTGAATTTTTCCACTAATGAGTATGTAGTGACCATCTTTATCTCTTTTAATCATTTTATGTTTAAAGTTCACATTGTCTGCAAACAGAATAGTTACTCCTGCTTTTTTCTGGGTTCCTGTTAAATAGAATACTGTTTTCCATTATTTGATTTGTAATCTATGATTTTCCTTTTTGGTCAGATGTGTTTTTTGTATACAGCATATTGTGGGATCATGTTTCTTGATCCTTACTGTCAACCTATTTCTTTTGATAGGTGAAATGAGGCCATTTACATTTATGGATATCACTGATATGTACTGGCTCGACTTTGCCATGTTATGTTCCAGTTGTTTGCTTTCTGCTTTTCCCCCTTGTTTAATTGCTTGTCCTGCCTGGTACCTTTATTCTGTTGTTGTTCTGGGGATTGTGGTCATTTTTATCTCTAACTAGTATGTCTTTCAATACCCTTTCTAGGGTTGGTTTTGTGGACATGAATTTCTTCAGTTGTTCTTTGTCATGGAAGTATCTTGTTTCTCCATTAAATTTGAATGAAAGTTTTTCTGGGTACATCAGTCTGGGTTGAAAGCTGTTTTCTTGTTTTCTTTCAGGGCTTGAAATACTTCACTCCAAGCTAGTCTTGACTTGAGGGTTTGTGCTGAAAAGATGGCTGTGATTCTAATGGGCTTTCCTTGATAAATGAGTTGTGTCTTTTTCTCTAACAGCTTTTAGTATTCTGTTTTTATGCTGTATGCCTGAGATCTTAATTATTGTATGTCTGAGTGTAGATTTGTGTTGCTTGTGACTGTATGGCATTCTATATGCCTCACTTATCTGCATATTAAATTTTTCCCCATGCCTGGGAAATTTTCTTCAATTACTTCTGTGAATATTTTAGTTATGTCATGTGCATTGACTCTTGCATCTTCAATGATGCCTATTAATCTTATATTATTACTCTTGGCATCTTGAAGCTGCTGGATTGTCATTTCATGTTGCTTTGTTAGTTTTAAAAGTTCTATCCTTTCATGATCACTAATTGCAATCCTGTCCTCAAGATCCGAAATCCTATCCTCAGCTTCATTTAAATGGTTTTGCCAGCTTTGAATAGAATTTTTTGTTTCTTAGATGTCTCTTTGAGTTTGTTTCATGAATTCTGCTTGTTTTCTGAATTGTTCATTCAAGGTTTCAATCAGTTTCCCATGCTCCTGTACTTTTTTCTCTATTTCTTCTTTAGTTGTGCTCAGCAACTCCTTTACTAAGGTTGTTATTTCTATCTTTACATGGGAGAGTACTTCTAATTTGATTTCCTCTAGCCTCATGGAGCTGTTTTTTTTTTTTTTTTTTTTTTTTTTTTTTTTTTTTTTTTTCCCACTAGCTACCTTTTCAGAGATTTCTGGTGTGTTACTTTTGAAGTCCTCTATTTCAGTGTCTCCTATACTTGCTTGGTGGACTAGATGTTTGAGATTGCATTTTGCTTTTTCATTTTGCCATTTTCCCCTTTTGAGTTAATATTTGGTCCTTCAACCCCACTAGTGTCAACTGTTGGTAGTGTGTATCTTGGGGTCCTAATATAAAATTGATGTTTGTCCAATTGTGGGGTCCCACAATGAATAGGTAAGCCAGTCACCTGATTTCCTATTGCAGGGCCTGTTGGGTGAGTCCTATATTCTTCCTGGGCTGACAAGCCTAGTACTATTGATGTAGGTCAACTTTTAATTCCTGCTATTACTTTATCTTCAGATTATTTCAGGTCACCAAATCTCCCTGTCTATAGTGTTTGTGTCAGCTGAGGCCCTACTGTGTACCTATTGTGTGCCTGTGTATCTCATTTTCTCCAAGTGGCAGAGTCCTTATTGGCACACTTCTCACCCTGCCTGATGTTTTCTGTGTGCAGGAAGGGGTCACCCACACTCTTGCCAGACTCATCAAGGTCTCACAGTTAGTTGGAGGGAGCTTTACTACTGGCCTATTTACCACTGGACACCTCTGTTTTAGTGGCATACTCACCACACTGATTGGAGCCTGCTGAGATCTTCTGTTTGGGTGAGGCAGTTACTGAATCTCCCTTTAAAGTAGCACATTTAATCTTCTATAGTCCAAGATTCTGGGAATAAGGGTGGGAGCTAAAGGTCAACAGCAGTATTGGGTCCAGGCGTCCGCTGGGCATGGGCCAAGGTCCCAGGACTGCATGGAGTTTCTCAGTGCTGGCTGGAGTCCAGCAAGAAGCACGAGGCTGTGCGGACCAAGGTCAGAGGGCAGCACATGGTGCCAGTCATACCCTCATTTTCTTTAAACCTTTGTCTGTTGACAGATATCTAAACTTTTCCCTGTGTTTTGGTATTGTGAATTGCACTATTATAAACCTACCTACGTATATATCACTATATTGTATCTTTAGTACAAATAAGTAAGTTAAGCCTGGGAAATTCTGAGTCTTTGTAAAGTGTTAAGTGTTAGACAGGTTTAAATAAGGTATTCCTAGATTGTCTTTCCTGTCTGTATCTTAGTACTATTTTATTGAAGGTGGAATTATTCATTTCTTAAGGGGCTGGAAATACTCTCTCATAAAATCAGATGTCCTTCCAGAGGCAAGTCTTCTTGCCTTCAAGTCTTTTGAACATTCTTATAAATATTTAGTTAATTAATTATGGTGATTCATTTTTTAGGTTTTTTTTCACTTTTTTTTTTTTTTTTTTTTTTTTTGTCTTTTTCCTTTTTATCGGTACCAGGGATCGAACTCACGACCGCCTGCTTGCAAGGCATGCACTTATGCCGCTGAGCTAAATCCCCAGCCCTTCAAAATTCTTTTTTATATTAGTACATGTTTCCAAGTCACAAAATGCTTCTCCTGTATTTTGTTTTGAATTGATTACCGTACATGGTGTGAGTTATGAGTCAAGATTCACCTTTCTAATACCATTTATTAAAAATAATATGTATTTTTTTCTATCCTCTTTTTCTTTTCTATAAGTGTTCTGTAGAATTTCCCAGCAAAGTCATCTAATATTGGTTTTTTTTTTCTTTTGTTGGAATAGGTCATCTTGAATGAGCTGTGGTAGTTAAACTTTCAAAAAAATTTGTTTACTTCATCTATGCTATCACATTTATTAATGTGAAGCACTCATAATCTATTTTTCCTTTCAATATTTCAAAGACTTGTAGTCTAGATGAGAGTAATTTGTATCCTCTCTTGGCTTTCTTGGTCAGCCTGACTAGAGGTTTGCCAATTATATTCTTTTCAGCATCAGCATTTAATTTCATTGTTTTCCTCATTGGATTTTTTAACGTGGCACTGGTTTCTGCTCTTTACATTTCTTTCTTTCTTCTTCCTTTATACTAATTTCTCTTTCTTTTATTGAGTTTCTTCATGTGGAAAATTTAACTTATAGGCATGAGAATTATCTTGTCTCCTAATTTTGCTACACATTTCCCCTTATGCACCACATCAGCTGAATCTCACTACCCCACACAGTTTAACAGGCTGCTTTTGCTTTCACTCAGTTTAATATGTTTTATCTTCCTGGTGATTTATTCTTTCATCCATGAATTATTAAGTAGTGTTTTATGAAGTTTACAGGTTTTGAGGAGATTTTCCAAATGTCTTTTTGTTACTGTTTTTCTGTTTAAAACCATTGAGGCCAGAGAATATTTTCTGAGACTGCATCTCTTTTAAATTTGTTGAGATTTGCTTTATAGTATAATATGTGATCTTCATGAATTTGCAGGTACAATTTAAAAGAATATGGATTTTGCTCTTGTTGAGCAAACATTAAATGATATAACATTAAATGAAGTTAGCATACAATATGCCAGTAATTTTGCTCTGGTTTTCTACTGTTGTAATGTTTTCCTCCCCACTTGTTCTATCCTTTATTGAGAGAAAGAAATTTTTGATTGTATTTGTGGATTTGTGTATTTCTGTTCACTGTATTATTGAGTTGTGATGTATTCTTATAGTTGAGTGTATTTTGTTTTATGTAACTTTTATTAGACTTTTATATTTCTATTGATTTTATTAGTTGTTGGCTTTTCTATGCTATTGTCTAGATGGAGACAGATTTGAATATTTTCACGTCATATGGGCAATGCGCCCATGATGGAACAAGGTTTGAAGGAGGCATCTCGTACACACAGCATGAACACGCTGTCATCATGTCAGCTCATGAACCTAAGGATCAGACATTTGATTTTTAATGTGATGCTATCTCTTTTAATCTGCTTGGTTATTACTTTTCTTTTATTAATTCCTGAATCTGTTTCACTCAGAATTGTGTTGTGTTTTTTATCAATATTTTAATTCAATGATTTCAGTAATTTATTTTCACTTTTACTGTGTATTATAAATAATAAAATACAGTTTGGCACTATTTCTTAGGCTTTTATATGAATCATGGTAGTTATTCTTCTTTTCTAAAATTCCTGGAGCAAACTACAGTTTTAAATTCTGTGAATCAAATTTTGATTATGTTTTTTAAGTGTAAAGGATTTTTGATTTCTGTTTGTTCCTACTTACATAATTTTTTCTGCTTTTATTTAATTGTAGTCAGTGAAGGTTCCATTACTAAATTTAAAAACTTTTCTTTTAACCCATGCAAGTGGTATGATAGCAACTACAGAGAACAGATAACAAACATGTAGCCAGGTTCTAATAAAACTTTACTTACAAAAATACACAGAGAGTGAATTTTACCATGAACCAAGCCAAACCCTATCCAAAAGGAATCAATACCCTTGTAATAATTTGCATTGTCTTGATTCATTATATTTCCTTTAACATTACCCCCTAAAACTAAGTCAGAATATAAAATAAAATGCAACCACAATTTATCTGAGATTGTTTCATCTTTCAAATATCTTGCCTTTCAACAATCTATTGGCAATTTTATAATGAGATTGTACTGCAGTGTTTTGAAAAAACAATATTTTGAAATTGATATTCTGGCTTTTGTTCCAATTCCTTTATTATAATGTTATAATGCAATAAACTGAGCTCTAGTGGATCCATCCAAGGTATGGTCTGAATGTGTATCCCCAAAATTTATATGTTGAAATTTAATGATCAGTATCAGAGCTAAAGATGGGGCCTTTGGAAGATAATTAAGTTATGAAGGGAGAGGCCTCGTGATTGGGATGAACACTCTAATAAAAGAGGTGTGAGTAAGCTCTTTGTTCCTTCCTCCATGGGAGAACACAGTAAAAAGGAAGAGAGCAGATCTCATCAGAATCTAAAACTGTCTTCATCTTGGACTTACCAGTCTCCAATACTGTGATGAAATTACATTTCAATTGTTTGTAAGTCACTCAGACTCAGGTCTTTTATTACAGTCTCAAAATAGATTGAGACAATCACATGGGTCATCTGTTTCCTTATAATTTTAGCACTGAGTACAAGATGGATTGGTCTGTTACCAGGTTTAGTTCTCTGGTCATCCATGTATGAACAGTAAATAATTTTGTCTTAAGAAAAAAAATCAGGTTAACAGAAAATTTCCAGTTTTTTATCGGAGGGAGTGGTTATTTTGGAGAGATCATTCCTATGCCTCATACATTCCTTCAATGCATTTCCTAATTTTGTAGCCAGCAAAATAGTTTTGTTTCCTTAAGTTTATCAAGGAAATATCACTCTTGGGAACCAGCACCATGCATGGGGCACCACTGGACCAGGAACAGACAGAACCTAGCCTCTTCCTGTGAATCAATGTCATTTGTGGACCGGGGAAGAAAGACCAAAGCCACATCAGCAAGAAAGCCCCATGTGGGAACCAGGAACATGCATGGGATACTGCCAGATTGGAACAGACAGACCCCAGCCCCTTCAGGCATGCAGGCTGGCAAACAAGTACCAATGTCCCCTCCTCTCCCCCCTCCAACCCCTGAAAGTGACTGGCTTATCCAGAGAAACACAGGCTGTGATGAGAGCTACGCAGGTGAAATGTAATTGGATGCCTGTGGTGCTTTGGTGTTTCACTAACATTGTAGGTCTATGGCCAGTAGTCTGTTCATAGGTTCAGGGGACAATGGTACAAATTGTGACATCTAGGGGGGAATCTTCTGAGGGTTGCAGCCACTGTTGATTTCCGATGGTCTTGTTGTGAAGTCCAATATCATTTCCATCGTTTTGTTGGGCTGGGTTTTATTCTCTTTTGTTTTATTTCATTATATTAAATCCAGTGACAGGAGCAGCTATTTTAAAGATAGCAAGATAAATTATGGTAGCAATTTTGGATTCACTATTGGCTTGTTTTGAAGACCTTTATTGCATTCATTGTTTTGTTTTTATTGTTTATATTCTATTCTATTCTGTTTGATTTTCACTGTATCTGAAGTTATCTGAAGCTATTTTGAAGACATCAAAAGGCATGATTGTAACTATTGCTGATTTTGTAATGTTTTGAAGTCATGTGTCTCTCACACTGGTTTGTTTTGATTGGTTTTATCTTCTTTAAAATAAAAAAATTAAAATTAAATTTCCATGAAAAAAGTCACCTTTTAATCAAACTTCTTCAAATAAATATATAATGAGTTGTACTGAATTAAAATTCTACTTGTTATGTTAACAAGTAAAAATACTTACTTGTTATGTATTCCTGTATATTTTGTTTGTTCTGGAATTTTTATTGTGATACACTGAGTTATTAACTGATTCTTGCCAAGAATGTGCTACTTTATTTATAGGGATAGTATGGTAAGAGCACAAAGGGAAATTATGATTTCTTGGTTCCTCATTTTTCTTTCACAATTCTCTTAGACGTATAGTGTTCCACATATACTTTGAAATAAGTCGATACTTAATTCTATGAATTAAAAGATTCTAAATGAAACTGTTTCATTAATGCATTGGCTATGGATTTATTGACAGGTTTACAATATTGAGTTTTCTCAGTCTTATATATGATTGTTTTAATTTGTTCAATACATGGCTTTATATTTTTCAGCAAAATTTGTTTTAGATATCTTGTAAATCTGTTTCCCACAAATGTATTATTTTTAGTGTCACACTATGTTGGTATCTACTATAAATAGAATTTTAATTTCTGACTATTACTACTATTTTTACATATTTAGTTTGAATATATGCAAATTAGCAACTCCTTTATAAATTCCACAGTTTTAAGTAGTTTTCTCAAATCTTCTAAGTTTACAGTTATATCATTTGCAAAAAACCTTCATTTCTGTGTTTTCTGTTTCAGTTTTTGCCCTGAATATTTTATTTCTTGACTAAATGCATTGGTTTAAACCATCAAAACAGCGTGAAGCAGAAGTGGAGATGGTTGGCATGCCTGTTTTATTCATAATTTTAAAGAAAATATTTCAGTATTTTTCCCCTTAACATGAAATTTGAGAAGCATTTTTAAAAATCCTCCATTATGTTTAATTAGTGCCCATCTTTATTTTAGTTAAATTTTTCACTAGGAATATTTATTGGATTTTATTAAATGTATCTTGGCATACACATCAATGAAGACTTCCATGGTGACAAATACCAGGAAAACTTAAGTCAAATTAGCTTAAAGCAAAAAAATGAATGCATTGGCTTTATAACTGAAAATGCTAGCATGAAGCCAACTTGATGTCAGGGTTCAAACTGTGTCTTCAGGATCTGCTAACTCGTACAGCATCTTCTTGCTGTGAATGTTCAATGGGCTATGGCAACTCTATGACATACACATTTAGCTTCAAATTCAGTGGTTGGAGAATTTCAGGTATTCCTAAGATTCCCAAAAAATATCTTATCATATTTCCCAGGATTAAAAGGGCCTTAGGCTCACCTCGGAAGCACAGAATCACTATGAGCAGGGGAATGTGATATGCCAGTTTGCTTTGATGCAGATAACAGGCTCTACCCATAAGCTGGGTAGAGTCCCAGCCAATCTACATCTGCTAAAAGAAGAAGAGCAGGTGCATCCCAAGAGGAAAGCTTTGGCATTTGTTACCAAAATAAGAGAAAAGAGCTACTCAGTGGCAAATTCACAGATGTCACTTTGGCATCATTTGATTCAACCATATGGCTTCTTCCATTAATTTCTAGTTTTAATTCATTGTCTCAATATATTTACTGATGATGAGCCATCTTTGGAATAATCCTTGCTTAGTTGTGGTTTATCCTTTTGATGCACTGATTAATTCTATTTGTTTCAAATTTTCCATCTGTATTCACAAACAAAATTGATCTCTGGGTTTGCGTTTGTTATGTCATGTTTTAGCATTGAAATCATTCGATACATAAAATGAATGGGAAAGGTTTATTTTTAAGTATAGCAAAATAAGTATTTCTTTAAAAGGTATTTTTAAAACTAGGAGCAAGACCTGATTGAGACTTTAATGAAAGATAGTAAAATAACTTTCCTAAGCCATCTTACGGTTTTCTTTTCCTTTGTTGAATTTCATTTTTTATGCTGGAAAACTCACCGCCCTATGTTTTCAAATGTGTTGTTATGGAGTCATATATAGTAATCTCGTTTAAATTATAAATATACGTAATCTCTTTCCTATTTGTGTTTGCCTTATTTCCTCCTTTCCAACATTTTATATTATACTCTATCTTTATTTGCTTCATCAAAAGAACATCTTTTTTTCCAAAGGACAGCTTTGAGTTTTATTTATGTCTATATTTTTCTTCTCTATGTCATTGTTTTTAGTTTTTGTATTCTACTAATATAATTTAGTAACTGTTTTCTTATTTGAAAAATTGAAATACTTGACCTTACTCTGGGAATAGCATTAGATGTCTCTAGATGTTTTGGCTTGAAATACTCTCATATTTTTTTCTTAACTGTTTTTTAAAAGCTAGAATCCATTTGGATCTCCTATTCAGTCTAACCTTGTTTATTTAAGATAGAGTTTCATGACTTCCAAAAACGTAAGGTTTGCTTTTAATTATGTTGTGATATAATGATTAGAAGTGCTGTAAAATCATCCCTGTAACCAAATGTATTATGATTTTTAGATAATGGTCAGTTTTATAGCTCTCTCAAGGACATAAGAAGTGTGCTATAGCATGATGCCTTATACCTTTGCCCACTAATATGATGCTATTAGTTGGTCTCTTTCCATGCTTATTTTTATCTCATCTCTTGAATGACCAAAAAATTAGTGTCTTTAAGTATTGAAAAACTTAAAACCTGGTATTTCTGGTTCTGCTTGCCTAATTCTTCTTACAATTTTGGTAGGTTTTA